TTATGCTCATTATCATGCCAAATATATGGCTCATTAGCATGTCTAGGAACGTAAAATTTATTTTACAATAATGCTATTCAAAAACAGATGTAGTCTTACAAACTTTCTACCAAGTTGTCAGGCATAGACCCCTTAGAGACTCCCACTCAAACCTCTATGTAATGAGTTAAAATAGAAATTTGGTACGACAAGTGACAGTTCATAAATAGAGAAAAACTCAGACTTCAAACCATGAAAGTTTATTGTAACCTTTGACCCATCTCCACATACAGGGCCAGCAAATTCACCTTTTGAGAAAATACTCGAAATTTTTTTCTGCCAAAGATTAAGCAAAACTTATCAGATGAAAATTTGCAATTAAGGACAGCTTAAAGACATTAATATTTATCAGGCATTTCACTAGACTGTTATCTTCTGTAAGTATATGCAAGATGTAGATTATAGCAATCATTAGTTGCATTGTATTTGCAAATGCAAACAGAATGTAATCAACATGTCTTTAATTATATAATTACACAAATGTTAAAATTGGTTCATGCTTACTGGTTATGATAAATATCTTTTCATATGATCAAGGCTCGTTTAAATGTGATTCTGAAATAATTTAGTTTAGAAATTATAATGATCATCAGAAAAATTACCTAGTGATCATGAAAAATACTTCGCTGTTTGCCAAATTTCAAGGTTTATCTGCATACATAGAAACACATTTTTACTTTATAGAAAATGCTTTTCATACATCAATAGTTTTTTGAATTTATGGCAAACAATCTGGCATTTGGCGTAGATCAACACGCCTTTACATCTCTAAATAAGGTGCTCAGTTAGAAAAGGGGACAATGTGTGACATGGGACAACATTTTATGTATGTGAAATACTCAGGTGTAATACCATTCCAATCAAATTTTCAAAATGAAAAGCTTCATGGATCAGAAAAGGCTCGAAATCACAGGTTATAGTAAACAGCTTCTCATGTAATCAATGTTAGTTTTGTCAAATCTTAAGAATGTGTAGTATAACTGTCTAATGATTGAATGATTGATGATCATTAGCTGAAAACCCCAAACATTTGTTTATGATAAAGTAAATAATAGTATGGTGCCTTATGGCTACAGATTCTTTATCCATTGAAATATATTTGCAGGAATGTAGAATTTCGCTGCCACTAAACGGCCACAATTCGCCAAGCACTAAGGAAATCAAAGCTAAACGTCCTTCGGCAACGACAATTTTAGAAGCATCAATCTGCTTACCATACGCCATATTGAGATTGATCATATCACATACTCGCATAAATTGACTTTGATATTTTACATTCATTCATAAACTTTAGAGTAGACTCTGAAGAGGACTACCGCTAAGATGACTATTCGACCATTATGAATTCTGTCTTATTCGTTGTCTGATGATTCTCTGCCCTGGGCTAATGAACGACTGTATTGTGCAGGAAAATTGTTATTTGGCTGGCTTTCATACAAGTTTGAAGTACAAGGCATTACTTGGGATATAGTGAATGTAGAAGATTTAAATTATTCTGTAGCAGCAGAAAATGATGAATACTGTAAAAACGAGTTCGTAGTAAGCTTGTTTTCATAGATTATTGGAATCAGTTCTGGTATAAGGATTAAATGAAGCATAGGTGGCTGTGTAGCTGCAGAGGCTGATGGAAATTGTGTAAAAGTTTGTAGTAGTCTGACTTGTATGCGTAATTGGAATTAGTTTCGGTACAGGAGGTAAAGATGTAATAGGTGGCTGTGTTGCTGCAGAAACTGATGAATAATGTGTAGGAATGTTTGTTGTAGTCTGACTTGCATGCGTAATAGGAATAAGCTTAGGTATAGGAGGTAAAGAAGAAAAAGAAGGCTGTGTTGATGCAAAGACTGGTAAGACCTGTCTAAGAATGGTTGTTGTTGTGTGCTTTGCATGAGTACTACGCGCTGATTGAGGTGTAGGGGTTATAGAAGACGTAGAATTTGCTAAGGTAGCAATGATATCAAGTTTGGAAATTGCTGTTGTTCCGCAAATAGGTTTGTTTGAAGATATAGAAATTGATGAAGTTGGAATCTTTTCACTGATGGGCATCTGACTTGATTTTTGTTTTGACTTAGGCAGTCTAACAGGAGCCGACAGTGTTTGTGCATCAACAATAAGATCTTGTTTTTTCGTGTTCAATATGTGTGGTCTAGGTAAATTAAACATGTCAAATGTTGCGTTATTCATCCTACATTATTTCGGGTATATTTTCCAGAAAAACCGTTGGATTCCATCAATTTGAGATATCTTAACAAAGTCTTTGCAGCGACTTAAAGTGTTTGAAATTCTTTTATGCAAATCAATGTAGCAGTTAAGAAAGTAAGGAAATTAATCAGCTATAAAGTCACAAATTTGATATGGCGTCATTTTTTGTCGTTGTGAACTCATAATTGCTATATAGATAAGTTCCGAAGAAGTGCAATCTGATTTTCGGGAGAAATTTTCCGTCCCTCATTTTCCAGTTCTTGTAAAACACTGTAAATAGAGCTGTTACTTTTACTTTAATCTGGGTCTAATGCCCATTGCTGCATGTCAATGTCACTCCACGTGACCTCCTTGTGAGAGAAGAATTCTAGATAGGGATATATAGCACGCGCAAGATATACACTAAGAAACCGATGTATAATTGAACTCAAAAATCTAGCATTAAAAACTATTACATGGTGTAAGAAGTTGGGTCAAAAAGTCGTATTAACTTTAAAAACTTGTGGAAATTCTTCTTCAGTTTAACTATGGAAAAATCGCTGAGTTTGAACGTCCCATCTCCCTTCAATTTTGAAGGGAATATTGCGGAAGCCTGGAAAATGTGGCAAAAATCGTTGGATTTTTACTTGTGTGCAATCGAAGCTGATTCGAAAGCCGACAAGGTAAAAACTTCAATCTTACTAACTTGTATAGGTGAGAAAGGGCGCAAAATTTATGAAACATTCGAGTTTGAAAACGCATGCGATAAGCTGAAACTCAAACCTGTTCTTAAGAATTTCGAGGAATACTGTAACACTCGTAGCAGCACTACTATTCAAAGGCACAAATTCATCACTTATCGTCAAGCCTAAGGGCAGTCATTTAATGATTTTGCAACCGAACTTAATAAGCTTATTGCTGACTGCGAATTTGATGTACTCAATGATTCCCTTATTAAAGATCTCACTGATAATAGTCTTCGTGAGCGCATGCTTCGGAAGCCTAAAATTGACCTTAAAAAGGTTGCAGAGCTTGGTCATGCCGCAGAGCAAACTAAACTACATGCTAAACAACTGGCAAGTCATACCGAGCAACGTGTTGAACTCGTCAACAAATATAAGAAACATTAACCACAGGCTCATTCCTCAGGATCAGGAGAAAATAGTGGTCAACTGATAAGAAACTGCAAATTTTGTGCAGGTAGTCATCTACGTGGGAACTGCCCCGCGTATAGCCAAAAGTGTAGCAAATGTCACAGAAAGAATCATTTTGCCAGACTGTAGACAGAAGATTGACAAGATAAATAATGATCAAAACAATCCTTCACTTGATTCCTCTGATGACAACGACTTTCTACTAGACAGTATTATTGTCCCCGAGTCTGATGTCTTTCCAGATCACCAGGATGATCTACAGGTCAATACTGTAAGCAGTGATGTTGCGACAGGACACTGGTCAGTCACTTTCCATGCTGCTTCCCGTGATATTATGTGTAAAATCGATTCAGGAGCCCAGGTAAATGTCTTACCCAAGAATATTTACAAAAAAATTAAAGCCTCGTCCAACAATAAAAAGCACAACAACCTAACAGTCTGCTTACAATGGCTCTCCAATACCTGTCCATGGCAAGTGCATCATTCCCGTGAATCATAAAGGAAAGAAGCACCACCTTTTGTTCATCATAGTGGACTCCGATACCACACTCATCATAGGATTGGCTACATCAGAACGTCTAAGTTTGATCAAACGAGTCTACAAGGTAACAGAAACCAATACTCAGAATTCACTTATATTAGTTCAAACACCAAACTTGATGATTGTCAAGACTGCTTTGGTGAGATTGGCACCCTAAAGTCAACATACCACATGGAATTAAAGGAAAGTGTCTCACCCGTAGTATTACCCCCTCTTAAGGTACATAAAAAGCTTGACTGAAGAATGAACTGGACCACATGGAACAACTAGTTATAGTTGAAAAAGTCGAAAAATCTATAGACTGGGTAAATGCTTTGGTTGCGAAGGTTGTGCCAACTCTCAGGATGATATAATTGTTTGGACGGAAACTAAAGAAATCCATGATCAGCGCTTACAAAAAGTCCTTGCTCAGATCAAAGAAAGTGGACTGAAATTGAACCAGTCGAAATGCATCTTTGGTACAACTGAATTAACATTTCTTGGTCATGTCATGTCAGCAGATGGAGTGAAGCCGGACCCCAAAAAAGTTGAGGCAATCACTCGAATGCTGATTCCAACTACAAAAGTTGAGCTCCAGCGATTTATGGCCATGGTGAACTATCTGAGAAAATTTTTATCCTAACTTGTCAGACGAAACAGCACCACTCAGAGCCCTCTTAAAGAATGATACCGAATTCATCATGCAAAAGCCTCAACTTGACTCCTTTGAGAAATTCAAACGCCACATATCTTCTGTACCGGTTCTGCAATTTATGACCCAAACCTCCCAATTCGGATGCGAACAGATTCCAGTTTAGTTGGTCTAGGTGCATTGCTAGAGCAGTGTATAAACAGCATCTGGCAACCTGTTGCATTTTCCTCCAGAGCGTTAGATTAGTCTGAACAAAACTATGCACAAATAGAGCGCAAAACCCTGTCCGTCGTTTTTGGATGTGAAAGATTCCACAAATACCTTTACGGTCGTGCAGTTGTGGTTCAAAATGATCACAAACCATTAAAAGCAGTTTTCTCCAAAAGCATTGTGCATTGTCCCCCAAGAATTTAACGATTTTTTCTTCGCTTGCAAAAATAGGACTTCACGTTTGAATATGCACCTTGTTGATGCGCTCAGTCGAGCATCTCTTAACAGTAAACCAGAGATCGATCCAAAGGAAATGGCTCATCACGTCCACTCGGCTATCAATGCAATTTCAATTCGCGAATCAAGACTTTCACAGTTGCAATGTAAAGCGCGGATTGATCCAGATCTACAGATCTTGAAGCAGTACACAATCAATGGTTGGCCATCCAAAGACGAAATTAACAACACTGTAAATTCATTCTATAACCAACGTCATGAAATCGTGTACAACAATGACCTCCTTCTGAAAGGACAGCATATTATCATACCTACCTCGATGCGTCGTGAAATGCGAGAGATTATACATCAAGGGCATCAAGGAATCGAAAAATGCAAAAACCGGGCCCGTCATGCCGTGTACTGGCCAGGGATGAACCTTGAGTTAGCTGTCCTCGTATCGCAATGTGCCACATGCATCAATCATCGTAATCGACATCAAAGGGAGACATTTATCTCACATCAAATCCCAGACCAAACTCGGGTAAAGTTTGGCACAGATCTTTTTACACTCTACAACCGAGACTACGTCATAGTTACTGACCGTCACTCAAAATTTATCGAGGTAGCTCTCATACCAAGGCCAGTGGATTCTCCTTCAGTTGTACGTGCCATAAAAAAGATCTTCAGCCGACATGAAATACCACAAATTGTTGTCTGCGATAATGTCCCTCAATACAGTGCCTCATCCCTTTAACAATTTGCTCGAGAATGGGACTTTCGACATGACAACAAAAGTCCTCACATCCCTCAATCAAATGGTCTCGTTGAACGATCTATCCAAACAGTCAAGCAAACAATGAAGAAAGCCCAGGAAGCTAAGAATGATCCATTTCTCTCACTACTAATATTGAATACAACACCCGCCAATGATGGCAGTTCCCTCGCCTACAAAATGTATCGCAGGAACCCAAGCACAACCCTTCCCGCAGCAAAAGGTCAAAAAATTAATGTCACTCCCTCCAACTCTTGCGTCAAGGCAGCGTATGATTATCATGCCCGAGACCTATCAAATATTGAGCCGGGCACCACTGTCCGAATTCGAACTAACAACGACAACAGCTGGGCACAAAACGGACAAGTAGTCAAGAAGTGTAAGGAGCCTAGATCACATCTCGTCATGAATGAAAAGGGGCACATGGTCTTTAGGAACAGGCGTCACTTCCTACCAACAAAAGAATCATTCAAACTGAAGACCAACTATTATGACGTGCAAACGCTGTCAAAACCTAATCCCGACAAGTCATCAGCATCTCATCAAACATCCCGATACGGCCGACCCATACGTACTCCATCACGATACGCAAACTACAATATGTCGTGAAAGTAAGCAGACCTTGCTTGAAAACAGCACGGTAGCACACATATTATAACTACGTAATGTTATTGATAAAACGGAAGATATTGCATGTCATTGTCACTCCACGTGACCTCCTTGTAAGAGATGAATTCTAGATAGAGATATTTAGCACGCGCACGATATGCACCAAGAAACCGATGTGTAATTGCACTCAAAAATCTAGCATTAAAAACTATTACACCCGGTAATGTTCACTATCTTTATCGCTCGATATCAACTGATTCAATTTTATAAAACAGTCAAAGTGTGATAAAACTTCACGAATGTGATGACACCAAGAAGGTGCTAAATTTAAAGTGTGTCGATATTTTTTTTTGATGAATTTATACATTTCGTTTACTGTGCTCATTTGTTGTGGCGAAATCTTTATGGCCAGTTTAATAAGCTTCTTATAATCCCTAATTTGATCTGCTGGTGGCTCATTTGATGAAGTGGACTTTGCGCAACTGAATTCTTTATAGTTTTCTGTTTCAAGTCCAACAACGTTTTTAGTTGCCGTCGTTGTCGCTTCAAGCGATTCTTCCATGGAAGAAACTTTGTTTTTTGGATGGCTGAAGTTTGTATTTGAGATCATTTTTCTTCCACAATTTTCGACTTGAATCTAACACATGTAATGATTGTGAGTTCAACACATGAATGGGGAAATGAAAATTGAATATTTATTCAACTAACCTTTGCGTTTAAAGTGTACGATAAGAAAGCAGAATGACAGTTATAAACTAATCAATGTACGGCAGCAAATTAGATTGCCTTAAGGGTCCCGATGTTTATTCCTTATAATGACGTCAGTTAAAAGCTAGTAGGAGCACTAACATGTCAAAAAAGGATAACTTCTAAGTAATTATGCAATTTTTATTGTATAGTTTTACATTTTTTTGCAAATCTTTGTGTTTCACATCTTCAGTTAATTAGAACGCTGAGCTTACCTATCAAAGACAGTAATCCAATTAAATGTACGGCCCTAGATTGCACTGCAAAGCGGTCCTACAGATTTATCGTTATCCTCTTATTCCAATATAGAAAATTTAATTAAAACTTTTTTTAATGTGTATCCCACGTTTATGGTTATGACGTCATGAACGCTGTTAATAATACTATCAATTGAAATTAATGATCACTTCTAAGTATTTATGCAACTTCTTCCCGTGCTATTGAAAATACATGTTAAATTGTTTTTCGTTTACATGAGGGAGGACCAACCTTGCCAGTCAAGATCTGACTATTGTTTAGCCAAGATCAGGCAATTAAGGCCCGGATCTACTTAGGAAAATTTTGCTTGGAAAGGAAAATTTGCGAGATATCTGTTTTTCCAGCAATGATTTCATTTTCCATTCATGCCAGTGTGGAAATAAAAGTGTCACTTATAATAGATATAAATATCTTCTTTCGTTTGGTCTTGCTGTGTAATTTTTAGGACGTTAGAATTACTCATTCTTTAGAAATCAGTCGTTATTACAGTGACTAAACACAAAAATTAGCATAGCAGGACCAATTTGCAGGCTGCGTACGCAACTGACTTCTTGCTGATAAGAAAATGTTAATATACAAGGTTGGACATACAAAATACATACAGGAAAATATGTTGTAAGACGAATATTTGTTGAAACAACGGGGAAGTTGCCACTTTTATTCGGGAATTAACACTTGTAGACCACGAATGGTTTTCAAACAGTTTTGTATTACTTTATGACAATTTTTCTAACGTCTGTGAAATAATTGGCTCACACCAGATAGAATACAAAAAACTGAAGAATTTCTACTTGAGTGAGCATTCAATTTTTCTCCACTAGAAAATTTGATCGCTTCTTTTCCATTGCTTAACGCCCGCGCAACTAAAAATTTTCTTTGCGGACACAACTAGCAGGGCTAGCTTTCTTTCAGGGCTGAAAATTCTACGAATTTGCGTGATGTAAAGCATTGATTTTTAGCAAGGGGGGGAGGGAAAGCAAGAAAAAGCTTCAACAGAAAGTTACACACAAAGAAAGTGTAAAGAAGTAAAAAGCAATAACTTTTTTGGTTTAGTTAGTTCCATTTAGTATCATTTCTCTAAAACTTGCTGTTCCACACGACCTCTTGATGTAGGGCTTGTGTTTGCATCTAAAACAGGCAAAATACAGCTTCAAAGAGACGGCAAGCTTTTTTCTATAGAGCTCGTGTAAACAGCCTCTTAGAAGGATTAAACAAAATAAATTCGCATACCATATTTGTACTGCGTTTCTATGTTATTGGCTACTCTGCCATCAAATGCTTTAAGATTAACTAAATCAACATAACGATAGATTATTTTCATGAGCAATATTATTTTCAAAACATGGATTGTTGTAAAGTAGTTATGCAACTTTCATTGTGTAGTAAAGTTAGTGTGGTGCTCATTTTTTACTAGGTTTGGTATTATGAACATAAGCCCTACTTTGTGTTTTATTTAGTTATAGGTATAGTTTAGAGGAAGGGGGTGATGTTCTAGCTCATTTGAACCAATTAGGTAAAATTATTTGCTTACAAAGTAATACTTAGTCAAACATGTTTTTTAATATTTCTGGTTGCAATAGCAAATCATATAACAGATTTCCTATTATTTGAAACACATTAAACGCATAGGCATTTATATCTAACAGCATTGACTTAGCCACGGAAATCAAGTATATTGCAAACAAAAGTAACTTGCCTTTTTTATACTTCTTGCTTTTTAATAATGGGAAAAAGGCACAATTTCAATATATCCTACCAAAAACTCTTAACAATAATTAATCTTAATATGATTAGGAATGGATATATGTTTAAAGAGTCATCATCTTAACAGCTCATACAAAAAAGTGTATTCAATCTAAACTACTAGCAAACGTCGACACCTGATGAGTTTTGGGCAGAAATGCAGTTCTTTTTAGTAGTCTTGGGTTTTTCTGGTTTTCTCTTGAGGTTTTTGTTTTCTCTTGAGATTTTTGATTATTTTGGGTTTTGTGACTTTCGAAACTCTTGGGATTTAACTGCATAGTTGACTGAATTCTTGTAAACTCTGTAATTTTTAGTTATTCAGCATAACAGTTGCGCTTTCAAAAGCATGATATCACAATTGTTTACCACAAGAAAATCTTTGTTTTACTGCTGGTCAAGTTAGAGAAACACTCTATTTGGAAAATAATTTGTAATTGTTCATAGATTAATATAGAATATTGCGTACATTTACAAAAAATTGCCATTACACTACCAAACTTATGTAGCTGCAAAGTTATGCAGCTATGAAGGACTACGGAGCCAATGGTAACCACATTGTAATAATGAAGTAACGAGTAGTTTACAAATAGAATTATGGTAAGGATGGGATTTCGTACTTGGTGTACGCATGTGTCTCTATGTGTAATCATGTGGCATTGTATAGCCCCCATAATTCCTTCCAAGCTACAGCTCTAAAACCAAAAAGTGCATACATTTTTAACGTGTTCTTAGATGAGATTACTTTAAACATTGTTTAAATAAAAAAGAAAAAGGCCATAATATGAATTATGTAAGAAGGATACAAAATAAAAACATTAAAATCAATGTTACTTGAAATGGTTTTGTACATGCCTGCATGCTATAAGGGCCTTCAACTAAAACAATTTCCAGTGGCTCGATAGAATACGAGAAGGGTGATTGATTTATAACTAGTCTTCCTTATTTTGTAGTATATACAAGTTTTGCATCAGTGAATAGTTGTTTTTGTATCTCCTTAGTAGATTTTTCTTGTCAAACACATTTTGCATCACACTATAGATAAAAAGAACTCGTGCACTGCGTGGAAGAAAGTGATTTGATTCGCTGCTTCAATCTCGTGCGTTTAAAGGAGGCTTTTGAATAATGGGAAATAACTCATAAAATACGTATCTATCAATAAAATTCAAAACAAATAATACAAATAATATTTGTGAGAAAAGAAATCCTATAAATATTTAAATAAAGAGGTTATATATTGCAAAGTCTCATTCACATCCACCATGTCTTTATTGTTAGGTTTGTGGAATTTTTAGCAGTTTTTCCTCCTTTCATATGTTCTGCATTTTAGCTTCAAGCGGCGTGTATACTATCTTCTTCGTTGTCTGAGGATTCTATACACTGGGCTACAGCAGGAATGTCGTTAGTTGACTGGCTACCATATAACATTGAAGTACAAAGTATTACTTTGGGTATTATGGATGTAGAAGATATAGATTGTTGTGTAGCAAGAGAAGCTGAAGAACACTGTACAGCAATGATTTTGGTAGTCTGGTTTTCAAACGTAATAGGTATTAGTTTCGGTATAGGAGGTAAAGTTTTAGTAAATGGCTGTCTAGCTGCAGAAACTGATGAATATTGTACAAGAA